CGCGGTGAGATTTTTTTGTCGTTGAAAAAACAGTGGAAAAATGCGCAAATTATGTGCTTTTGCATCTACTATACAGACGTCAGTGTTCAGTGTTCCATTACTGTGAAGAGTACAAGCAGGCATAAAAACATCAGTTATGCAAGTGGAATATATTTTTTTTTGTGTTTTAAGGTTTTTGAAAAATTAAAAAAACAAAAAACTTGAGTGCAAAAATACAGACGAGAACACACAGGCACAGCAGAATTGACAATCATTCAGTAAGATGACAACGTACCGCATCCTCCAAGACAGAATTTTCTGACAAAAAATTCCAAAACCAAAAAAAACTAAAAAACATTCACATTTGAAATTCCAGTTTTCCAAGATCCCAGCAAAGAGACGATTTGTGATATTTTTTTTTACTTTTTTTCTTTGTTCCAGTGACAATTCAAAAGACATTCGCCGTTTCAGTCCAGAAATTGTGTTGACGTATTGTGACAGAAATACACGTAAATGAGCACATTCCCACACATTCCAAAAGAACAGGGAAGCCTTCGCCTGTTCAGAAAGACAAAGTTAGAGCTGCCATTAAACTTAGACATTTCTCTCTCCCAAGATGTAACATCGCAACAGATATTTTGACTTATCAAGCCATAATTGTTGGGTATGGTTTAGGTTATTCATTGCGAGATTTGTTAACTGCAGTAATTTATAAAACAAAAACAATTGCATTTTCTTTGCGCTAAATAAATTAATAAATACAAAACAATTAGGCTATTTTCACATCTCCACTCCAGCTTGTTCTGTGGATCCAAACTTTCATTATACTACAATGGTCCATCCAACAACACCAAAACATCTTCATGAAAACTACAACACCGAAAGATACATTTGCGTTTAATTTTTTTGTCTTATAGATCTGAAATGAAGGGGAAGTATTGGCCAGAAGAGCGTTTTTTTTAAATTGTTTTATGCGGTCCATACATTGCAATTTTGCTTCTAATATGGTTAACTTATGTGTCAGTTGAGGTTGAGACATTGGTCAAATTATAATCATGTATAGTTGATAACAATAAATAACTATTAGTATTCTTTAGAAATGGCAGGAATACACGGAGGCGAAATTTAGCCAAAGTCTGGTTTTCCAACTTCAATACATTTTTTTTTTTTTACATACATCTAATGACAAGAAGACAATGCAACACTATTCTAACTTGAAATTGAAACTACTTAAGTACCAACACTGACATCGCGCCCTTCTATAAAACAGTTACATCATAATTAATACCTAAATATCAAACTTGGATTAATTTTGTTCACTTTAAGCGGATTTGCAGCTAGCTGAAGTGGTTGTGTGAAAAGGATCTATTCCAGAGGTGTCCATTGTATTTCTTATTGAATTGCCCCAAACGATATGTACCTATGCTGCTGTTTTGAGTAATTACACCACAAAAACAATAAATTCAACGACAAAACCGGTCAATAAGTTTAGGACTTCTCGTTTACTTTTTCATCTTACAAAAGCCACCATTTAAGACACCCCTGGATTATACTAACAACTAATACTAAAAATAAATATGAAGCAAATTGTAATTGGTATAATTAATTATTTTGTAATTAGTAAGCAAGTAATTATTATTTATCTAGCGCATTTTTACAGACAAAGTGCTTTACAATGTTCTGATTGTAATACAATTTAAGCAAAAAATGCATCTCCATTCATAAATTGTACTCACTTAATGCACTGTGTAATAATTGTATAAATAATAAGTAATAAGTTAATGGGTAATTGAATAGACAAAACTAAATTAATAATTTTTTCCACTGCACATGTTACACCTTTAAACGCCTTTCCACTTAGCCATCCTACACCTTGGGATGAGAAATTGCCGATTCTATTTAAACCCAAAATTACCTCCATCATTGAGTCTTCCATAAGGAGAGAAAGCTGGGACACACAATCCCAAGTCAGACATTCTATCCAAAAAAAGGACGTCATATGAATATCAAATTTCAAACAGGCCTCTAACATGACCACGAGCCGGAATCCGTATAGCGTTAGTTTTACGTTTCGCGAGATAGTGTGACTTGTGTTATAAAAGTACACAACGATTGATATGCACTACGCACTTCCATAACTCTAGGTCGCATTTGAAACGAAATTGCAAAAACAGCTAGCGCTAACGATATTAAAACCCCAAAAGTTAATCCCAAGTTTTTTACATTTTTTATTCTGTTCGGAGTCATGTCTTTAATACGCCAAGCTGCCAAGGTTGATTTGTGAGCGCTTAAGATTCTCATGATGAAAATGTTAAGTCAAAAGCAGCAAGGAATGACAAGCAGGTGATGTTGTTTGAGGTTGGTGGTCCTTTCCATTTGTTTGCCAGTTGTCAAACGCTGCTACTTGTAATCCTCAAAGCGTAATCGAGCGTTAACTGCGTAGGTTAACTAGTGATATAACATGGATCAAGGGTCTCCAACCTTTTTCCCACAAAGAGCTACTTTTTCAGGACAAAAATGGCAGAGAGCTACTCCTTTTCGTGGTTCAATAGAAAGTTTGTCGATATGGTCTTGGATTGTTTTCTGGTAATCTAACAGTAACCAATCTATTGTCCTTTTCTAAGTTCTAATTGAAGTTCAATGAGTTTCCTTTCTTTTCATGACTATTGACTGTAGATCCACACCAGGCTGTGTAAGGGCTATTTGACCAATAAGGAGAGTGTGGGCTGGGCCAGATGACCTGGCCTCCACAGTCACCAGACCTGAACCCAATCCAGATTGGGGTGAGATGGACCACAGAGTGAAGGCGAAAGGGCCAACAAGTGCTAAGCATCTCTGAGAACTCCTTCAAGACTGTTGAAGACCATTTCAGGTCACTACCTCTTGAAGCTCATCAAGAGAATGCGAAGAGTGTGCGAAGCAGTGATCAGAGCAAAAGGTGTTACTTTGAAGAACCGAGAATATAAAACATATTTTCAGTTGTTCCATACTTTTTTAGTTTGTACATAATTCCACATGAGTTAATTCATTGTTTTGATGCCTTCAGTGTGATTCTACAATTTTCATAATCATGAAAATAAAAAACTCTTTGAATGAGAAGGTGTGTCCAAACTCTTGGTCCGTACTATAAATCCTTTGAGGAGCTACTTTGAAGGGGGGTGGAGAGCTACTGGTTTCTCGCGAGCTATAGGTTGGAGACCCCTGTCATAAAACGTCAAAGTTATGCTGTTGTTTTTATCAATGGGTCTCCGAGAAAATAAAAAACCTTGGAAGTCAGAAATGAGAGTATCCATTCTCTATCACTCTATCTACTCTGTACCCAAAAATACCCAACCCGGTGCCATGCTACAGTGAACTAGCTTGTAATGATTTGTGACCAGCTAACATAACTCTAACCACAAACTACTCCCATTGACTTTTGCTTTTTTTTTTCTTGAAGACCCGATCCACCTTCTCAACTATTACAGAGAGTCCCAATCACTTACAAGCAGACGTACATTCAGATTGATTTGCTCTTAGCCTTCCGAATGACTGAATGCATGTCGTAAACCGGTTTCGGGCCTGGAAGAAGTCTGCAATAATGTCTGCGGAAATGCAAAGGCCCGATTTTGTCTAGATTCTCGATGAATTGGAAGTGTTCTCCTACGGCGTTGCTAAAAACCAGTGGCTAATTTATCGATGCCAATCACTCACAAGTCCAAAGAGATCATTTCCGGCATTAGTAGTAGACACTTATGTTTTTTTGGCTGCATCCTCTTTCCAAGTTCTTCAAAATCATCTTCTAGAATTGTCTTTTTTGAACAAATTCTCTTTTTTTCCCCCTACAAACGTTATAGGCTTTACATACATAGCATAATGTGCTATTTCTCAGTCAGCTAGCTGCTTCCGACGACTTGTGCATTGTTGGCTGTCCACACTTTGATTACGACTTTCGGTGGATCCTCCCCCCCAAGTGTTTCTCGCTGCGTCAAGACAACTCGTACCAAAAATAGAATAGTCAATTGTGCAAGAGTTTCTGGCAGGAGATCCGAATGCCAAAGGAACAAAAATAACGGCTGTTGGTAGCCATCTTGAATCAGTACGCTGAGGTTCTATCTAGGAGATGGAGTCCCAGAGTTGTAAAAGTTGGTGTCATCTATAGCTCTATGTATGGATGCAATATGAGATCTTCCAAGCCTAAATGTCTTCACTTTCTTCTCATCAGGCCAGTTTCAAGTCTTCCAGAAGAATCCAGTGTCCTTTCAAATTGATGCATCAGCGAAGAAAAATGTATGGATAACTAGATGAATTCAGTGATTATTCCAGTGTAGGACTGAATGGAAAAAACAGTGAATGGCAGCATTCTTGTTCTGGGACTCGTCATGGCTTGTTCTTCGCCTTGCGGTGTCCTAAGACCTTACATTTTTAATGAAATAACATTTTTTTGTGTGGAAATATTGAGCTTGTGATTGGTTGACAGCCTTTTTCCAATGTTTAAAGAGACAACATATCGGCTGACCAAACAACCCAAGCATATTCAAAGATACTTTTTGATTGGTATCAACACCCAATATCTAATTATTTTTCAAAATGGAGAAAATAAAACAGCCTTAATTTGCACTGTCAATTTTCTTCAATAACAACTTAATAGAAACAGTAAACCATTTTTGAATGTGGCCTGTCACTTTCAAAAACACTTTGCCAGGTCTTAAAGGGTACCGCAAGTGAATAAGCAATGCAATATGAGTCACCCGTGAGCTAGATGTACAGTTTCTTGAGAGAATGTTGCGCAAAAAGACTTGGAAAAAGGAACACAAAGTCCATTGGCAAATAATGCAAGTATTCAGAGCTGCCAAGTGGTCCACAAGTCGGGACAAGACGTTTATATATGGTCCAAGAAAAAAGTCTATTCCAAGATTGTGTCCGGTTCTAAAACTGAAAAGTTACAAGTTTGATTCATTGTGCTGAATCTCGTACTCTATTCCTCCAATGTGTTCCAAGTTTGACGTTTTTCCTTCCCGCTTTTTCCCGACCGACTTTCCTCAGATGTGCCTCTTCATGTGTAGCGCCAAATGGTCCGACCTCGAGAAACACCTGCAAGACACGAAGCGAGAGCAGAAATTAGAGCAGAAACAGTGACGCTCTGGGCCGCTAATGCACACGTAATTAAAAATATGTGTAACAATTTTGATCATCAGCAATTTTCTGCTGCTGCTAATGGCTTCAGCTGCAGAGTGAATGGCCAGAGTGTTTCCAGATGGATTTGTTTGTGCAAAAAAGGGAAAGGGGAGTGGGGAAAACATTAGATGAATGGGGCGAGCTTGTAGGATTGTGCATGGGTTCTTATAGGGACACTCATGAATTAAGAGCACTTTGCAAAGACGTAGCGGAATGTTTGTTTTGCGTAATGATTATATTTAGCAGTTATATGCGGCAGAATGGAAAGCAAAAAGAAGAAAGTGCAGTCTCTGCAGATGGTTTGAATGGGGAAACACAGTTATGTAATGAACATTAAGGGATACAGTATTTCCTTGAGATAAATCAATCTGTTCCAAGTAATAAAGAAGTATGTGGAGGAAGAAGAGTGATGCCCTCAGCACAGAGCGTGTGAGGAGAAAGAGATGTAGGGTTAGTGAGCGTTATGGGCCTGTGTCTTGTCTGTGTGGATAAGTGTATCTTGCTTGTCTCTTGCCATCTCTCTGTATAAGTGTTTGTGTCTATTTTTCTTATTGCTGTCATGTGTTTTGTTGGTTCTGTGAAGCCATTTACTGTCAAATACACACATTTTCTATTTACAAATAATAAAAACACCAGGTACTCCTTCTGACCTGGATAAGAAGTCTCCATCCCCCAGTAATCAGTAGCGTGTATTTATAGTAGTTGTGGATGATTTTTATTTTTCTGATGGTAAAACTCCTGGCAAATATGATCAAAACAATGAACTTGAAAATATGAAAAATAAAAATAAATATTTGATATGGATGGACACAACAGTTACATTGGAAAGACCAGATGCACTGCCTTTAGTGTTATAGCAAGACCATGCTAATTTTCAACACTTGTCAATAGAAGGCTTTGAATTAATACCGAACTCTGTGGCTGGGTGTGTAAATATTCAAACACAAGAAAGTAATGTTTATTTATATAGCACATCTTACAGACCAAGGTCACCCAAAACGCTTTACAATATTGAGAGTTCAGATATTTTTCCATTCTCTCCACGCAGAACACACTGGAGCATCTAAGCCGCCAACCAACACCATCCATTCACTCGTTACTGTACATTCAGACCTGCTGTACATGTTTTTAGTAGACCTGTTTTTAGAGGAGACCGGTTGGGCACCTGGAGGAAACCTAGAGGAGAACATACAAACTCCTCCCAAGTACTGCAGTGCATCCTGTGATCTCATTGTATCGTGAACCTTACAGCCAATGGACTTTGCTATTCCCTGCCCGAGTTTTACACCTGATAAAACCACATCCTGTTCCATCTGGGTACCGTTTTGCACGAACGTATAAACATTTACAACTTCCTAAATTAAACCACTCACACATTCAAAAAATCCTGCCTAAAACTTCCAAGCATCAGCCACGTTTCTAGAGACAAAAAGCTACTAGATTAACAAATTTAATGTGGCTCCGGAGCTTTTGTGGAATTGCCGAGAGATGACTTGTAAATCTGCTTCCAAAACGACAGCGTCCCGCGGTAATGAGGCAGTTAAACATGTCTGTGATTGTTTGGGAAAAGCCAAAAGAAGCCCCGTCACTTTAAGCACGCAGGCCCCGCAGCGGCTTCACATCATTAGCCTTGTTTTAATGCTAATTTGCTAATGCTCTTAACAACAACAATCTGCCTGACTCCCCCAATATAAAAGCTGGATTTACGCTGAGGCTTGTGCCGGATCCCTTTACTGCGCTTTGACAGTGAGGGATTGCAGGCAGTTTGCACAAGGAAATGTAGTTAGTTTGAATTTTCAAGACAGCAATTTTGTTATGTCAGACTAAGTGAGAAAGATATCGTTCAAAATCCAAAATGCTGACCGCTGTTCCTGATTAAGAACTCATCTACGGCTCCCTGCGTCTAAAAGCTACTGTTGCATGCAGTGTTTGTACGATCTTGGAAACTCCGAAAATTCCCTCTTCCCACTCAGAAAAATGGGAATGATCGCTGCTCAACTTTGGACATTTGGGCTTCATCAATGGTCCCAGAGTGCCCGAGTTATGGTTACTGTGACACGGTGGCTGAGTGGATAGCCCTCTCGCTACTCAGCAAGAAGCGTCTGGGTTCGAATCCTGGTCGGAACGGTGCCTGGGTGGAGTTGGCACCTTCTTCCTGTGTCTGCGTAGTTTTCCTCCTGGTGCTCCGGTTTCCCCCCAACACTAAAAACATGTACAATAGGTCTGACATGCACCTCCTGTTCGGCGACCTTGCTCCCATCTCTGTGTGGAGTGAAAGACCAATGCTCACAATAATTGTAAAGCGGTTTGTGACTCTGGTCACAAACGTGTGAAAATTGTGAAACGCGCTATATAGATAAAGATTACTTACTAATTCACATGTCACAATATAATTGGATAAAACAATAGAGACAAACTGAGGGAGATTTGTTTTTATTACATAGATGGTTATACTTCACAACATAAGCAGGTCAGAAAACATCTACTTCAAAACCTTTGCAGAGATATTAAGATTGCATTTGTCCAAGCATGTTGTATTAGATGGAACAACATATTTCCTCATTAGGGCTATACAAAAATATATTTAATTGAATTGAATTGTCTGCTGTGTCTACACTTAACCCCACTTGGCCTGAAGCCCCCGCTGAAAGATCAAGGCTCCAGTGGGCTCACCACCTGCAGGAGGATCAGTGAGGGGCTGGTGCTCTGTGTACTGGGTGCATCTCTGACTGCCACCCCCCCCAATCCAGAAATGGATGAAGGGGAAGAAAATGGATGGATGGATTAATTGAATTTTAGTTTGACAAATCACATGAATATATGTCGTAAGTAATATCAGAATAGAAGGGAATTTTACACCTCAACAACAACCTCCTATGCTAATCCACAATACACTTTAATATATATAAACTTTTTTCCACAAACAGGTTTTATTGGCACAAAGTTGAAGTTTTGTCTCAACTAAAAAAAAAAAAATAGACAACAATCATTAGTCCAATGGTTGGCAGTTCTATCACCTGTGTCAGCCAATCCGTTTCATTACAAGTCAAAAACTCCTTCCACAGCTGCTAACTACTTGTTTTTTGGAACGTCCTGATGACAACACATCCTCTGAGAGTTTCTATATTTTTTGGGATCTGTCCGTCCAGTCCCCCTCGTCCGGTCCCTCTTCCTCTGGCCTCCCCCCGATCACATCTGAGCTGCCATTCTTTTGCCGCTGCTGTCACACCTGCACATGGACTGTATGTTTACTGGAAGCAGATGGAGGAGTGCGAGTCACGACCGGAGGGCACGGCACCAGCTGGCTCTGCACACCCAAACCCCACACTATCCCTGCTCCCCCGCCCCAGCGTCTTCAGGCTGCTCTTCAACACAGCGGGGCGCCAAGACTCTCACTGGCTCTGGGGTTTAGTCCTTTTTGTTCACGAAAAAATTAGATTAAGAAGAGAAGATTTGGATTTTGTTTTTGTTTTTTTAGGAGCACTATTTTGGAAACATTCTCAAACCTCAAACTTCTTTTAACGTCAAAACAATATGTTTGATGTAGTATTATTATTACGACAACTACTATACTAGTATTAAACATGCCGATATGGTGAAGAATATTCCACAAAACAAACAATATAATTAGCATTTTATGTATAGAGTGATTAACATATAAATCGTAATGACCAACCCAACCTAACCCAAAAATAAATATCTATTTAATCTATTTGATACGTTTAATTTGTCATGGTTTTTTCCTTGTGCATTACTTTGAATATGGTAAAATGTTTATTGAACCACTCAGCTGTCATATTGTATATTTAATTTGATATTAAATATACTGTTAGATCATTTTGATCCAAAACAGAATTGAATAGCCTGATCCATCGGCTGGTTCAAACTTCGCTTGGTGGAAATGGTCTGAAATGGCAATGTCATGGTTCATTTTTGCTTGGACCGATTTCCCCGGTTGGGCTGTGGCGTATGTGAGAAGAAGAGCAACAATGCCTCTGCCCTGGGTTACAATTCTTCAAACTACTTCTTGGCTCTGGCTTTAAATCTTCAGTTTTGATCTTTTCAAACACAAAATGTAAGTTTTTGTCAAAACTCAACTCCACTGCTTTGTTTGCAGCTTTGTTAAACTTCAAACAGGCGCTGATTGGCTGAGCGTACTTCCTGGTTTGTCTCTGCGATGCCTGGCCTCAGAGCTGGAGTGATATTGAACTGAGCGGAGGCACTAGGTGGCATCAGTCTAGATATTTTTTTTTTTTTATAAACCAAAAGTATTTCCTCATTGTGAATTTCTACAGATTAATTTCTTTATTAATCCTGTGCCTTTAATTATACTGCATGTAGCACTAAATCTATCACAATATAAATCCCCCTTCTACCACAAGATGTGAGCCTACTTAAAGCTGCGGTACCTAACTTATTGTTCATATATAACAGTGTGCCTGTTCAAAGAGAAAGAGTGAAATATTTTTTAATAATTTTTAGGGCTGTCAAAATTATCGCGTTAACTCACGTTAATTACATTTTTCATTAACGCGTAAAAAAAAAATTAACGCATTAACGCACGTCCGAATGACCCGCCCATTTATCCATTATCACTCAGAATGCTGCGTGTGAGATGCATCAGAGCAGGTAGGCCCTCTGGGGATTCATGTTTTAAAAGAATACGCGCGCCACCGCGGGGCTGTTGTTTGCTGTGAACTGAAGTCCGCCTCCTCCGCGGCCGCTCTGGTTGTGAGCCGCTCACAACAACACGGCTGTGAGTGAGTGGCGCCGCGGTAACATGGTCACAAGACCAAACACGCCACAGAACTATTGTCTGCATGTTGTGTTCGTGTCTTTGCAACCTGTGCGTAACCTGTGCGCGCAAATACAGCGCAGGAGTGTCCCTGTCTCCTCCTGAAACTAAACTAAACTGA